GAGCAACAGCAACAAAGGGCAAGTCTAAGGATACTACAACAACCAAGATGGAAGCAAAGGAGCGCAAGGAGAGCGCGCGCCAATTTTCTGCCGCATTTGCGGACAACCTGAACACATGGCCGAGCAATGCAGAGCGGCAATGTACGATTGTGTAGCAATGATGGACAGACGACTGGTGCAACCGTGTGCACTGCGACAGCAGCTGCACTCGCTAGCGCGTCCGCAGCCAGCAGAACCATCAGCAGCACCCATCTCAGGACTGCAAGAGGTAACTGTTGCCAGGGTTTGCGCAGCGCAACAACACATACAGCTCGACTTCGGACACATGAAAGGCTGCGTTGACTGCAAACGTGCATCCAACAGAGACGTCGCAATGGAACATCCACTCACGCCCTGGATTGTTCGGCGTACAGCGTGCATCATCAACAGACACGCAACCCACAGCAAAGGAGCAACAAGCTACTTCAACACACGTGTAGAGAGCAACGCACTCATATTTGCGAGCACAGTGCAACATATGCTACCAACAGTCAAGCAATTTCCAATACGCGAGCCAAGGTTCTAAAATGGAATCTAACTTGGCAAGGATACAATTATATACAGCGAATCCCACATCGGGAGCTACACCAAGATCCCATCGCTTTACAGCACCCATCAGTTGGTCCGATTTCTCCATCAAAACGTTTCTCCATCTTGCGTCTTGAATGCCGCCCACTCCGGCAGTGTGCCTGCGAGGAGATTGTTCTGGTTGCTTTTAAGTCACTTGAACGTTTCTGGGCACAATGTGCGATGAGTTCGCCCTTAGGCAGCCATCCAGCTGTGCCAATTCCTTTGCAAATCGTTTCCGTTGCAAACTTGACAGCTTTTGGGGATGCGGGGGTATACGTGTGTCATTTACCATATGTTGATATCATTCTTTTCCTTCCTCCTTTGACCCAGCTTCTTTCATGTGTTGAGCTTGCCTCTGGTTTCTGATTTGGGCAACCCAAAAGAACCCCTTGCTTGCCTGAACAGATCCAGATCGCCGCTGGGAAGAACCGGCTTGTTACTCCCCCACAGATTTGCAGAAGGAATGCAACACCGATCCATTTTGGAGGCATATTTTGGATGAAGGACACTCCTTGTGCTGCTTTGCAGGTTTGTGCGGCACATCCGAAATTAGATCCCTTTGTTGTTGGGGATTCTTCCGCCAGGTGCATTGGTCTGGGTGAAACAATACCTGGATACTGAGTGAGTAACTTTGTCGGTCTCCACCCAGGCCGCAAAAAGCAGGGAGAAACTGAGACAGTTTCGGACGGCAAAGAAGCTGGAAGGGCTAAAACAGAGGGGCCGAAAAAAGTAACAAGAAACTCTGTCTGGAAGACTTATTGGGCTACGCCATGTCCGGCAGAGCGGTTGCCGTCAATCAAAATTGGCGGAGGAAAAGGAGCCGATCTGTTCAAAAGCAGCTTTCAAATTGGCTCAGCTTGGAGAAACAAACTGGGAAGAACGAGGCCAAGAAAGGCCAAACGGCGTGGCAGGTCCATACCTCATGCAGGGCGCGGAGTTTGTGCGGACCACTTCCCAGTCCTCCACCAACTTGAGGTTCTACAGCCCCACGCGCGCCTGCCAAGCGATGGACCGCCTGGGAAAACGCGAAGCACGTTCTGGCTTCGGGGTTGGGCCGGAAGGGATGCCTTCTTCCTTTCTTGTTGTTTTGGGTGTGGGGGGTTTGGGGTCGTTCTGGTTAGGAAGTTTTTGGTTGAAAGGAGAGGCAATTTGTCATATTTTTTTCCAGGATGACATGAAGAACTGCCCAGAGCTCATGTGCCCTTTGACGTCCATCTCATTAAACATTGCGCTCTCCAAAGAATTGCTTTTGCATCTTCAGCCGGAGATGTGATTGTCCCATCATCTAAATTGCATCCGCGGCTCAGCATCACCAGCATCACTAACATCACCAGCATCCACATTCCTTCATCAGTAGCATCCACAGCACCTGCAGCAACCACATTCATCGCATCCCCAGCATCTCCAGCATCACCAGACCAGCATCATCAGCATTAACATCATTTCCAGTATTCCCAGCATCCCAGCATCACAGCATCCACAGCATATCCAGCATCCGCAGCAGCCACATTCCTCGCATCCCCGGCATACCCAGCATCAGCATAAACATCCCAGTATCCACAACCCAGAGTGTGTAGGGCCACAAATCATGATGTGCAAACGCATTTTTCAGCTTTCTTTCCAGAGAAAAGCCATGCGACGCCTTGCTTTGAAGCACTTTCGTGATAGGTGTCTTCTTTGGGCAAGGTCTTCCCAATCTTGAATTGCTATAGGTCCTAAGGGGATGTGTGGTGTTCGCCGCAGCGCCCGCAGAGCGGAGAATGCGCCAAAATGGAGGCTGACAGGCGACAAGCTTTGCGAGCGTGCTCCGCACATACCACCACACGGGCGCTCATTCGGCGGCAGCAGGTTAGTGTGTGCCAGGGCGCGCTCACGTAGTCGGCAAACCTTGCATGCTCGCAGGCTTAATCCTTGACAACCATAAGCCCCTTTGTGTTTGGACTGGCTTTTTGCCGGGGGACGCAGTTTACCTTATCAGTGATCAAATTTCTGTCTCTAGAAGGGGATTCGAATCCAGTTCTTGTTGGTTGAGGGGATTCGCACAGGACTCGCTGGGCAGGATGCCTTGGAAGATCAATCAGAAGATCTTGGAGGCAACGTTGTCTCCAAATTTAAGGGGGACACCCTGCCGGCCTGGTTTAGACATTTTGCCCTCTAAAAAGGACACTGGGTGGGTTTCATTTTTGGCGGGAGCGTAGACTAAGGTTAGTGGGGGACAGTGCTAGCCAGGGTTTGTTTTGGATGCACAGGGTGCTCAAAGAGTGTAGCAATTGGTGAACGCCACAGCCTTGGATTAGTAAGTGGGGATCCTAGACTCGGGCCAAGGGTTTTCCTTTGGGCTGTTGGAAGTGCTGATTCCGGTTATTCCCTTCTGTTGCCCTTCAACGGCAAAAGGCGACCGCTTTTTCATGGGCACATACCCCTACAAACTCCGAAACAAACACAACAACTTGGTAGACAGTTTCTAATGCGCCATCATCAAAACCTGGCATTGAAGGAGTTCATGCAGGACCATGCAAAGCAGCTTTGCCTTTTTTTCTAGACATTTTTGGACGCCCAGGTGAGTTACCTTTAGGCAGAGTGATGTTTGAAGGGGGCTTCTTTTTTGAGAGTGTTGCATTCACACATCGGCTCGCATGGCATATGGCAAATTCGTCAACACGTCACAACACACATATTTGGGGCTCTCGTCGCAACACATGAAACATGCTTTCTCCGCAGCTGAAGTAGGCTTGAACATGTGGAATTTCATTGGGCAGACCATTTTGACAAAGGCTTCTCTCGCAAACCAAAGGCTTCGTACCTGGGGGAATTCTCAGGTGATGAAGGAGACCCAAGCCCGCGACCTGGGCATAGCGGACATCCCCACTCGAAGTGATCCTGAGGTCTCCGTTCGGAGTCGGCGTTCGCAGGGCTTGGGCCTGGCCAATTGGAGGTGTTACCGTTTGAAGAGCACCTGGAACGATCCAATTGCCTTGCAGTTTAGCACCATCCAAATGCCCGCCCTTTTGGTGTCCCTTTGAACACAGACAGCGGCCATTTTTTTTTCTTCCCCCCAGATAGCTGAAAGCTATAGGGATTCTAACTTCCAAGAAAGAAGGGAAAGTGATTTGCGAGATTGCCGGCTGGGTGCTAGGGGGCATGCAGTTTGAGGGGCTGGTGTAGGTGCTGTTTGGGGTGCTGTTTGAGCATTTGTTTGGATTGATGGCAGGGTGCTAGGGCATGCAGTTTGGGTGGGGCTGTGCAGGTGACAGTGCGGGCGCACTTTGGCAAGATTGACGGTAGGGTCGGGGGTGCTGGCGAAGGTGCTGTTTTGGGATGGTGTTTGGGGTGCTGTTTGAGGTGCTGGAGATTGTGCGGGTGCATATTTGCGAGATTGACGGCCGGGTGCTCTGGGAGTGCTGTTCGGGGTGATGGCGCGGGTGGTTTTGGGGACGGGCGTGGCCTTTGCGAGATTGACGGCAGGGTGCTAGGTGGCATACAATTTGGGGGTTCTTGTGCAGGTGCCAAAGTGCAAAAGTGCAATTGTTGGCACGTGTTTCGCTATCTGGGGTCTATGCTGATAAAAAAAAAAAATCAAACATTTGCCCAAGCCCAGTGGCAACCATTTGGGCTTGTCGAGTGGGTGCCGATTTTGATTTTCATTTGATTTTCCCTCCTGCCAGGGGCACAGGGTTCAGTTGAAGGAAGCTAAGTAGGGGCCCAGCCGGATGGATGGCCTCGCCCCCGCTATCTATGGCACGAAGGAAAGTGCGAGGAGAGACGAGGTTCATGGCAGTTTTCCCTGTCCTGATTCGAAAGCCCATACCGTTTGCGACGGCAAGTCCCAACTTGAGAACATTTCGAGCATCGTTCGCGTGAAAAGCTGCGCAGGTCCCAAGGATGTCGGATGAAGAGCTCCAGGACCTGCCCGAAAGAGAAAGGAAAGAGCTGCGCCTGAAGCACGGGCGCCCAGCTTACCGGCAGGAGAACGGGAGCAGCCGCTTCTCCCCTTTTGACTTTCCCCTTGGCATTCGCTCCGTGCTTGGTCGCCCTCTTCGTTTCTTTTTGTGACCTACGAGAAATTGACATGTCCCTCATTAGTGGTGAAACTAGAGAATGAAGCCCCACTTTCTCCGGAACTCAAAGTGGGAAGTCACCATTATCCAAGTCTCATGTTGCAAAGTAGAAATGGCGGGAGAACCTAGAAACCAGCAGCCAATGCAGACAATCCGAACCACGCACCCACTATCAGCAAGGGTTTGGGAGGTATTTTCGGGCTGGCACCTCCTGAGGATCTACAATGCAGAGAAGCGCTGCCGCGAGCTGCAGTCGGAGCGAGCGGAAAGTTGTTTTGTCTTGCAACGGTTGGAACTTTCTTCACTTTAAAATCCCCATGAAAATGTGCCGTCCCTGAAAAGCCACACCCAAGCGCATCGAAATCAACATTTGACGTTTTGAGGAAAGGATTTCATGTGCAGTAAACATGATTTCCGTGGAAATCAGAAGCGGACCTACTGCCCTACTTCCGCAACTCTCTCTCTCTCTCTCTCTCTCTCTTTCACTCTTTCTCTTGCTCTCTTCCTCTTTCGAATTCTCTTTCTCTCTTTCTGTCTCTATCCTCCTTTTGTAGAATTTGGCGAGCCAAATCAAGTGCAGACTTGCGACCTGCACATGTTCTTCAGTTTGTCTATGTGCACATCTTGCTATCTGGCTGTCAGGAGCGGCCCACATTTCTGCTGAAGTTGCAGGTTGCAGAAGACTTCCGCCACGCAGAGAAGATCTACTTTCCTCACAATGTGGACTTCAGGGGGCGGGCCTATCCAGTTCCGCCAGGATCTTAGGGAATTGCATGGGCAAAAGGGGCGGAGCTGTGGTGAATAATTTCTGTCTTTTCCACAAGGAACCTTTCAAGACCGGAACACTCGCCTGCAGTGTCGGGTCCTGCAAGTGAAGTAGCATTTCCAATCCCACGTCTCGGTGCTCTCAGAGTTTCTTTTGCATGTCCCTGGAACGTTCCAAAACTGAGCCCAAGTGAGCGCTCAGCCCTGAGGCCTCACCTGAACCACATCGGCGACGATGTGAGCCGGGGCCTGCTGATGTTTGCGGAGCCCAAGGCCCTGGGCCCGGATGGGCTCTTCTGGCTGAAGGTGAACTTCGCGAACCTGCGCCTCGGAGCGGGCCGGTTGCCGGTAACCTGGTAGCCCCCCCCCTCACCAGCAAGCACTGCATCCAACCTAGCGTGACACAAGCCAGCCCAAAGCCACCCGATAAGTAAACAAATGCCCACGCGGTGGTCACGCCCCAGCTAGCCCCAAACGAACCAGGCTCTAAAACCGGTTGAAGCCCACCGTATTCCTGCCGCAAGAGCTTAAGTGGCTTGAAACCAGCCCGGCAACAGCATCGGCTAAGATCTGTCTTGCAGTGGCAACAGATCAGGGAGAGACTGAGCAGGGATGTTGCCCTCCACCCGCCCTCCTCTCCTTGTCACAGTCGCGGTGCCCACACCCGGCCACTTCTTGTAGCGAGCCGCTCCGAAGCAAATGCCATTGCTAGTTAGAAAAGGAAAACGGACCGACCTAGCCTCTTCGGGGGTTGGTTTGAAGGGAAACCAAAAGAAACCCAATCCATTTTTTGGACCCCTATTTTGACACATACCACTTGCGGAGGTGCGAGTGGATTGGTTCCGAGACTTCTTTTTTTTTTTTCTCCCAAAAGCATCTCTGATGCTTGGGTTCTGCTTTAGGTTTTCTCTTAAGGCGCCTGGGAGCGATACAAGCTGTGACGACGGAGATAAGAAGGGATTTCCATTTCGTTGTGCTGCAGACCGGGCGTGCGATGCTGGCTGGGGGTGCAGACCGGGCGTACGAGGCTGGCTGGGGGGAAGGCGGTGTGGTGCAGACTGGGTGCGCGAGACTGGCGCGGTGGACGCTCGTGACAGGCCGAAACCGCCCCCGAGCGAGAGCAGACGAAACCGCCGAGACGGGCGCGGGGGACGCTCGTGACAGGCCGAGCGAGCGACGGGCGCGGGGACGCTCGTGACAGGCCGAAAACCGCCCCCGAGCGAGACGGGCGCGGGGGACGCTCGTGACAGGCCGAAACCGCCCCCGAGCGAGACGGGCGCGGGGGACGCTCGTGACAGGCCGAAACCGCCCCCGAGCGAGAGCGAGACGGGCGCGGGGACGCTCGTGACAGGCCGAAAACCGCCCCCGAGCGAGACGGGCGCGGGGGACGCTCGTGACAGGCCGAAACCGCCCCCGAGCGAGACGGGCGCGGGGGACGCTCGTGACAGGCCGAAACCGCCCCCGAGCAAGACGGGCGCGGGGGACGCTCGTGACAGGCCGAAACCGCCCCCCAGCGAGACTGGCGCGGTGGACGCTCGTGGGGGACGCTCGTGAGAGGCCGAAACCGCCTCCGAGCGAGACGCGGGGGACGCTCGTGACGCCCCCGAGCGAGACGGGCGCGGGGGACGCTCGTGACAGGCCGAAACCGCCCTCGAGCGAGACTGGCGCGGTGGACGCTCGTGACATGCGCCCGCGAGCGAGACTGGCACGGGGGACGCTCGTGCGAGCGTGCGGTGGACGCTCGTGACATGCGGAAACCGCCCGCGAGCGAGACTGGCGCGGTGGACGCTCGTGACAAGCGGAAACCGCCCCCCGAGCGAGACTGGCACGGGGGACGCTCGTGACAGGCCGAAACCGCCCGCGAGCGAGACGGGCGCGGGGGACGCTCGTGACAGGCCGAAACCGCCCCCGAGCGAGACGGGCGCGGGGGACGCTCGTGACAGGCCGAAACCGGGGGACGCTCGTGACAGGCCGAAACCGCCCCCGAGCGAGACTGGCGCGGTGGACGCTCGTGACAAGCGGAAACCGCCCGCGAGCGAGGCTGGCGCAGGGGACGCTCGTGAGAGGCCAAAACCGCCCCCGAGCGAGATTGGCGCGGTGGACGCTCGAACCGCCCCCGAGCGAGACGGGCGCGGGGGACGCTCGTGACAGGCCAAAACCGCCCCCGAGCGAGACGGGCGCGGGGGACGCTCGTGACAGGCCGAAACCGCCCCCACCCCCGAGCGAGACGGGCGCGGGGGACGCTCGTGACAAGCCGAAACCGCCCCCGAGCAAGACGGGCGCGGGGGACGCTCGTGACAGGCGGAAACCTTCGAGCGAGACTGGCGCGGTGGACGCTCGTGACAGGCGGAAACCGCCTTCGAGCGAGACTGGCGCGTGACAAGCGGAAACCGCCCCCGAGCGAGGGGCGGGGGACGCTCGTGACAGGCCGAAACCCCCACCGAGCGAGACGGGCGCGGTGGACGCTCGTGACAAGCGGAAACCGCCCTCGAGCGAGACTGGCGCGGTGGACGCTCGTGACAAGCGGAAACCGCCCCCGAGCGAGACGGGCGCGGGGGACGCTCGTGACAGGCCGAAACCGCCCCCGAGCAAGACGGGCGCGGGGGACGACGAAACCGCCCCGAGTGAGACGGGCGCGGGGGACGCTCGTGACAGGCCGAAACCGCCCCCGAGCGAGACTGGCGCGGTGGACGCTCGTGACAGGCGGACCGGCGCGGTGGACGCTCGTGACAGCGGAAACCGCCCGCGAGCGAGACTGGCGCGGTGGACGCTCGTGACAGCGGAAACCGCCCCGAGCGAGACTGGCGCGGTGGACGCTCGTGACAAACCGCCCCGAGCGAGACTGCGCGACGGTCGCGCGACAGCGGAAACCGCCCTCGAGCGAGACTGGCGCGGTGGACGCTCGTGACAAGCGGAAACCGCCCGCGAGCGAGGCAGCGGAAACCGCCCCCGAGCGAGACGGGCGCGGGGGACGCTCGTGACAGGCCGAAACCGCCCCCGAGCGAGACGGGCGCGGGGGACGCTCGTGACAGGCCGAAACCGCCCCCAAGCGAGACTGGCGCGGTGGACGCTCGTGACAAGCGGAAACCGCCCCCGAGCAAGACGGGCGCGGGGGACGCTCGTGACAGGCGGAAACCGCCCGCGAGCGAGACTGGTGCGGAGACGCTCGTGACAGGCCGAAACCGCCCCCGAGCGAGACTGGCGCGGTGGACGCTCGTGACATGCGGAAACCGCCCGCGAGCGAGACTGGCGCGGTGGACGCTCGTGACATGCGGAAACCGACCCGCGAGCGAGACTGGCGCGGTGGACGCTCGTGACATGCGGAAACCGCCCGCGAGCGAGACTGGCGCGGTGGACGCTCGTGACATGCGGAAACCGCCCGCGAGCGAGACTGGCGCGGTGGACGCTCGTGACATGCGGAAACCGCCCGCGAGCGAGACGGGATGCGACCGCCCGCGAGCCGACGCTCGCGAGCGAGACGCTCGTGACACGCGGAAACCGGCGCGGTGGACGCTCGTGACATGCGGAAACCGCCCGCGAGCGAGACTGGCGCGGTGGACGTGACATGCGGAAACCGCCCGCGAGCGAGACTGGCGCGGTGGACGCTCGTGACATGCGGAAACCGCCCGCGAGCGAGACTGGCGCGGTGGACGCTCGTGACATGCGGAAACCGCCGCGAGCGAGACTGGCGCGGTGGACGCTCGTGACAGGCGGAAACCGCCCGCGAGCGAGACTGGCGCGGTGGACGCTCGTGACATGCGGAAACCGCCCGCGAGCGAGACTGGCGCGGTGGACGCTCGTGACATGCGGAAACCGCCCGCGAGCGAGACTGGCACGGTGGACGCTTGTGACATGCGGAAATCGCTCGCGAGCGAGACTGGCGCGGTGGACGCTCGTGACATGCGGAAACCGCCTGCGAGCGAGACTGGCGCGGTGGACGTTCGTGACATGCCGGCGAGCGAGACTGGCGCGGTGGACGCTCGTGACATGCCCGGCTCGATGTGAACAGCCCGGCGCTACCTGACCCGAACAAACGGTGCCAATGTGTTTCTGGGACAAACCCTCGGTTCGCCCTACTTATTTGGAAGCAGCCTGGAAGCACGCTGACATGAATATGCTGAGCACACTCGGCCCAAACACAAGGGCGCATGAACATCCGAACAGCTGACCCCGGTCTACGCAGATCGTGGTTCCACTGTGTCTCAGACTTGCTTCGGACAGGCGTCAGACCCACCAAGTGACCGAGGCTTGTCCACACCGAGCCCCCCGCAAAAGCGCAGCGCCGGCCCCGTCTCCACACACCTGCGGCGAATCCACCCAACTTGCCATCCACACGCATCCGATTGACAACGCGCGCGGCCCTTTCCACAAAGTCACCAGTTGCAATTTGTTGCGAATGGGAAAATAGGTGGAGAAACTAACATCTCGAATCCGAGCAAGCCCTACTTATTTGGAAGCAGCCTGGAAGCACGTTGACATGAATATGCTGAGCACACTCGGCCCAAACAAAAGGGCGCATGAACATCCGAACAGCTGACCCCGGTCTACGCAGATCGTGGTAACACTGTGTCTCAGACCTGTTTCAGACAGGCGTCAGACCCACCAAGTGACCGAGGCTTGTCCACACCGAGCCCCCCGCAAAAGCGCAGCGCCGGCCCCGTCTCCACACACCTGCGGCGAATCCACCCAACTTGCCATCCACACGCATCCGATTGACAACGCGCGCGGCCCTTTCCACAAAGTCACCGGTTGCAATTGGTTGCGAATGGGAAAATAGGTGGAGAAACTAACGAATCCAAGCAAGCTTACGAAGCAAGTTTGTGAAGGCCACGTGCACGGCTCCATGTGAACAGCCCGGCGTTCCAGGTGCGCCAAGATTGTCCTTTTTGCCGCACACCTGACCCGAACAAATGGCGCCAATGTGTTTCTAGGACAAACCCTCTCTTCAGAATCTGTGGCCTCTTGGGGTTCGCCCTACTTATTTGGAAGCAGCCTGGAAGCACGTTGACATGAATATGCTGAGCACACTCGGCCCAAACAAAAGGGCGCATGAACATCTGAACAGCTGACCACGGTCTACTCAGATCGTGTTGTAACACTGTGTCTCAGACTTGTTTCAGATGGGTGTAGAGCGAGCTTATGCCTTGTTTCCAATTTGAGAGTGGTAGTTTGTGCGGATCCATTTTCGGATTTCTGCGATTGGTTCTTCATGATGAATCGGATGACTTCGTGCCTTCCATGTAGCGCGGGGCCTGTCATGTTTCACCCGTGCCTTTGCCTGTTTCTCTGTGCTTGAGTCGCGGTTGCTCCCCTTCTTCATCTGTTTGGGGTTGATTTCCCAACTGTGAACAACTTAAATCTTGGTTTGCCTTCGGACCCTTGAGCCGGAAAACAACGGGATCCACATGCCATGGGGAGTGAGGCTGGTTTGCTTTTGGGTTCCCGGGCTCCTCTTGTTTTTTGGGGGGGGGGGGAGCTGGTTTGTCAAGCCAGATGGAACTTGGTTTTGGTCCAGGATCTGACTCCTCAAAAGGCCTAGCCCATGCACCCCCCCCTTTCTGTTTAAAGGAGGGGTGTATTCATAGGGGGTGTCTCCTTTTAGTGTATCACATTCGGACGGGTTTGTGGGCACTGACGGCGCCTCTTTGGGGTCTGGAAGCCCAGGGTTTTGTCCTTTGCGGAACGCCGCTCCTTGGTTTTGTTCGTTGCCGAGCGAAGAAATGTGAAATCATAAAACGTCTGGAACCAAAGCAGCTTACCTCCTTTCTGAAAGCTGTAGGGCTCTAATTTCAAGCAACTAAGGGTCTTTGCCGGTATATATTTTTCTCGTGTCTGGGCGAGAGGTTTGGCAAGAACAAGATCTCCTTCGAAGAGCGGGCGGACTGGGTGGACGCGCAGAGGGACTGGATCCTTGAGGCTGGGGCACTTGCGAGTTTGTGTTCCCTGAAAAGTTCGGGGAGTCCCGCAAAACGGGCGCGGGGGTTACAGTTGAGAGGCTACTTCGCAGCGAATCTTTAAAGAAGGCGATTGAAGTGTCCAGCATACTACGGTTGGGAGAAAGTAGATGGCCCAATTCCCATGTTGGTCTAGTTGCCCCCTGTACTTGCCCGAAAGGGGATCAGATCTACGCCGACCCCCAAATGCCGTTTGCGCCACAAAGCGTTTTGGTTCTAAAAGGAAACCAAAAGGAACACCAGTTTGCGTGTCACCCTATTTTGGCACATACCCTATTCAATAGAGGACCGCTTGTGGTTGGTTTCCATGTGGTCACTCCTAGTTTAAGTCACACCCATTTCCAGTTGGCTTCCCTGAACATTTTGGTTCAGCTCAGGTTGCAGCAGATCCGCTCAGCCCCAGCAGCGTGGCCAGGTGGTCCAACGCGGATGACGGGCTGCTGAGCGTACGAGAAGGGTAGGGGACAGCCCATGATTTTCCAAGGGCCAAAATTACTCAATGTTAGTCAGGTGATACTTGCTCATTCATCCGGCCAAGGGTCAAAGTCAGCAACTGGGCAGACGAGGGGTTACTTTAGAGACCGATGAGGTCTGCTAAACCCCAGCGCCATGGAAAATGGATGGTCAGGAGTAAGGATGGGATTGGCAACATCAACTCAACTTGTTCATACAATAGGCAGGGAAGCGCAGTTGTTTCTATTGGCCCATTCATGTGGGTTCGGTTGACTGCCCAATCAACCATAGCAACTGCAACACCCCCTCAAACATGGAGATCCCGGGGACAGTTGTCACATAGTCACTACAAGGGATATATACCAACCATACAACTGGCATATCAAAGTCACACAGTAAGAGACAGATCCAAGGGATACACGCCCAGTTGCTGACTTTAAGAACAAAAAGCAAAACCACACAGACAAAAGCATGGGGTGACATGACCCCAGTATATTTGACCTCCGCCTCCCCAAGTACTGCGTGACTTTGACCAAGGCCTTGGCAGGTTTTGGCGCGGTGCTTCGAGTTTGCGGAGGTCTGGGCTGCCGAAAGTCCCGAGGAGTGAGCCCTGCGCGCGAATCTCTCGCTGATTGCCCGAAGGCGAAGGTGGCTTCGAGTGGCCCCCGGGTTCTTGAGAAGCTCGTACACATGGGACCTGACAGCTCATGGCATTGGAAGTGAGCCAGTTTCGAACCTGTCTCTGTCTTGATCGACATGTTGGTTCAGCAGAAAAGGGGTTTTCTGGCCCGAACCCTAACCACAAAAAGGGAACCGAGCTTCGACAAAAGCGACACGCCGAAGCCTCCTAGGCTGTGAACCAAACCGACCTCCATGGCCCCATGGGCAGTCAAAGGGCCTGGCTTTCGCGGGAGCTCGCACCGCTTGAATCTCAAAACCGATGCAAAGTCCTTCAGCTTGACTCCAGGAGTTCCGGAGCTTTTTGCCGGTGCACATGGACGGATCCTGCAATGGCCTGCAGCCACTCGGGGTCTGAATATCGAGCAGGTGGAGTGGCACCCCAAACCATCTCCAATTTTATCCACACACACAGCGAGTGGAGGGACGGACTCCAAAGTCAGCTATTTTGTACATTTCATTGATCACACAATTTCCCTCAACACCCTTTTGTAGCCTGGAAAATGGCTGAGCATCCAGACACGGCCACGAACCAAGGCACTATGCGGGCTTGGGTCGCGACCTGGAAGGCGGAAAGGCCGTGGCCGGGGGGTTTGTTAAAAGCAAGTTGCGCCAGGCATTTCGGGTGTCCTTCCTGTTTTGGGTGTTCCTTTCAGTTTCCTGGGTTGAGAAAGGGTAAGTTCATAGGGTTTCCAGAACTCCCAAGGGAATCTTGCCGTTATTTGTTTTTTTTTGCCAGCCTCAGAATTGCCTGGGGCCCCGGAACTTGGCAGGCTGTGAACCTGTATCCCGCGGACAAGCCGCAGGATGTGTACACGGTGGTGTTGCAGGTGGTCAAGCAGAAGGCGGGGGGAGAAGTTGGGAGAAGAGCCTTCGGGTTTCTTCCTTTTGGTTTGCTTTAAAAGGGCTCCCCCCATTTGGGTGTGGTTGGTTTTGAAAGGACACCAAAAGAAAACCAACCGTTTTGGGGATTTCCCCATTTTGAGACAGACCCAACAAAGAAGCACATGGAGCGTCTCTGCCCAAATCTGAGGCTCAGAGCAGCAAAATCTGGAAGGGTTCCAGAGTATTGGGGTGAACAATGGATTGAATCGCCCTACCCAGCCCTGGTTCCGAGTCAAGGGGGCAGTCTCAACATCATAAACAGAGCATGTGTGGCGCCCTCATAGGTTCACGCTTCGGCGGAAGCCACGCCGGATGATGATGATGAGGAGGAGGAGCATCAACGGTGGTTTGCTACTTCCCCATGAAGATTTGGGGATTGTCTCAAAGTAGAAGACCTCCAACAATTTGCTATTGAACATCTCTGTGCAAGGCCGTTTTTTGGTATGGCCTTGAATAAGTCCAAATGCCGGACAAGCGAGTGCTTCCTGAGTTGGGCCTGTCTGCTGGGAGAGGCTGAATTTCAAGCTCCTCATTTTGAGAGAGACCCAGTCGAAACCTTCCCTCTCATCCTTTGGGAAGGGTACTGACTATTTCCTCACACCAAGCAACCTCCAAAATGAGTTGGCTTTCGTTGGGAAGTGGGGCATGTGGCGACGCGCTGCACAAAAGGTATTGGGTTGGATGTTTGCAGTGAGGGTTCCATTTTTTGACTTATCGAAAGTAGATGTGAACTGGAACCCCGAAACGCTTCAGGCCTTCCTTCGGGTAATGTCGACTTTCGGAATCCGAAAAACATACTCGCCGATTCACCTTTGAGTGAAAGCCTTCAGGTAACGAATCAACCTTGCGGCTTCCTTCGGGTGTTTTCTTTTCCCAATGCCCTAAATGAGACACTTCCCATGAATCCCCCCTATGAATCATCTGGGTCGACAGCTTCGAAAGCCGAAGGCCGCCAAGCGCCAGCTGTCGCAGCGGCTCATAGAGTTGGATGTGCTTCAACGCAAGGCTTTGAGTTGGGAGCGGATCGTGAGTTTTTGTGAGGCTCGGTACCCTTTTCATCTTGGTCTAAGGGACGCTGAAAGGAAGCAGGAGGACCGATTTCAACACTTACTGAGGATAACACCTACACCTCAAGGCAGGTTTTCCCCAAAACGGCAACCCCCGTGATTCAGCTTACCTCAGCGCAGTCAAAAATGAGACACCGCCTGTGTGCGCCAAATGGAGGGTGCCTCAAGCGGTGAAGCCCCTTTTGACATGTCTGAAGGTGACGGCGTCTCGTTGGAGGTGCTCCAGGGACCCCATTTCGGATTTCGGGGGGCAATGCCAAGTTCCGAGATTCAAGCACTGGCTGACCTGAGTCTTTGATCCATCGGGGCTCAATTCTTCGCCTGCGTACCCCAATGCACCCATGATCTTGACTCACCCTGGAAAATGGTTGCTAGACCTAGATTTGCAAGTTCCGCAATTGTTCAGGAGGCCGAAACGACACCCCTTCACAGGTCCAAGAGGGAGGTGACACTGAGACGCGGGACCATACCGGGAAACCGTGCGAGGTGGTGAAGCAGACGATCATGACGATTTGCTACGGTGTCACCACGGCGGGGGATTGGCCGATTTTCGCCCTTTTGCGACCGTGTGCTGGGCTTTTGGACCTTTTTCGGTTTGGCCGAGCCAGACAGGGTGGCAAGCGCACGTTCTTGAGCTCATTGTTTTCGTCAGACATTTGTTCCTTTCTCAGGTAATTGGGTCCACTTTTACTTGCACTTTGCTTCCACCCTTACCCTTGACCTCAACAGTTTGGAATTTTTGTTGTCCGAGCAAAGGGAACCGCTCTTTCGATTTGAAGGGGGCCAGAGGGGAATCGAAGATTGAAGACCTGTTTGAGAGGTGCATATTTCAGTGGTTCCGGCCTTGTGTTGCATCCGAACCGCCCCCGCTGCACCGCCTTACCGCCTTCTCGCCTTTGCCGGTGCTCTGGGCTCAAGTTGCACTTGGCCCAAAAACCGCGGTGTTTGCAACAAGTCCAGTCAGCCAGGGCCAAAGCTTTCGAAGGGTTTCCGAATAGCGAGCGGTGCCCAAGTTGAGTGACAAACCAGAGCACTAGGGAACTCGCATACGGCGCGAGCTGACGTCGCCGGGCACCCAGTTTCCGCTTGCACTACACCAAAACAGGGGCAGTGCAAACATGGGGCCTCCAGAAATAATTGTTTCTTTTTTGCGCATCGCTGCAAACCATCCCCATTCTTCTTCAGACATACCCATTGCCTATCCAGTTGAGGCGCCTTTCTCTGCCTTAGGCGATGCCAGAGATGAGCCTGGAGCGCGCGGCAGCCCTGCTGAAGGAGGCTGAAAGGCACACGGACGAAGAGGAGCGGATGGCGACATTGGCAGTCAGCAGTGCCCAACAAAATCTGTGTGGGTTTAACGGGAGAACCACAAGGAAAGAAAAGGAGTGAATACCTGAGTTAACTATTATTGGTTCTACAGTAAATCCATCGTCCATAGGGTTAAATTAACCTGGGACTGTAAGTCTTGACTGCCGAGTTAATTCCTTTTGCTAGCTTTCTTTCTTGAGGGATTAACTCCGGATTTAAGTCTTTCCGAGCGCATATCGAGTCTTACGAGTCAGGGCACCGTCAGACAAGACTTAAATCCCGACTTAATCCTTTTTGGGCACTACCGTAAAAGAATGAAATCCAGAGTTGATTCTTTTTGGGAACTATCATAAAAGAATTAAATCCAGATATGAATTGTTTGTGGGATTCCTGGAAGCTTTTTCTTGCCCTTGGAAGGCCTTGCCTGACGTTGACCTCTGGAAGCTTTTGGAAGCACTTGTTTGAGTGAGCGCTGGATCCCTTGGTCGAGGAAGCCCCTGGCATTGAAACTCTGCCAGCCCTTTGGTAACCCCTCGAAGCTCCTGGAATCTGTTGGTGGGCCCCTTTTGTGGTTGATTGAGTGGAGCTTTTTGGTTGGACCTCTGTGTTTTGAAGTTGTTCGGCTTGAAGTCATGACAGCATTGGTGGAAGTGGCGAGAGCCCGCAACCTGGGCAAGCAGCTGCCACCTTGGCAAGAGTTGGGTTGCAAGAACCAGCTTTAGGGTTCCGTATTCTGTGTTTTTCCAATCTTCTCGGACTTCCCTTTTCTTTGGGGTTGAGGGCTATTCTTTTTCTCCTGAGGTTCGAGGCATTCCTACTTTTTGATGTTTGGACCCTCTGTTTGTTGTTTTTTGGCGGGGGTTGGGCCTTGGATTGTTTTTGCAGGAGAGTGAGAAGGCGGACCAGAAAGCCCACGAGGCCTTGAAGTACCTCCGATCCCTCAAGGATCCGATCCCAGGCCGGGGCTGCTGGGGGGGGGCCAAGTCGGGCAAGTTGGTTGAAACCAAATCGCCAAATCAATCGCCAAAGCAAACAAGTGCGTGTTAGAAGCCAACCAAACAAACATGACACATCGTTCGCGGAAGGTCCAGCCGACGCCGTGAGGGCCTTGGCCTTGAGCTGCCGAGAGCTCAGCGGTGCACCCATGGCAGGGGACCCACGGCGTTCCAATTTGTAGCATCCGAAAGAACCACCCATTTGTTTGAACCCTGTGGCATCCTAGAACTAGGTTTGCAGTCCTGAGAATAGATGCATTGATGATGTGTGGTCAAACATAGGGAACCCTTGTCGTGAATCAGTCAAAAGTCGCAGGGGCGTCCTTTTCGGAGGGTTAAGCGGAAATTGAGGACCAACATACTTTTGATATATATATATATATATATACTCACTTGAGGCTGTAGGTGGTGTACTTTTAGAGGGGATCCGCATCACTTGAGGGATGGTGCTCACTTCAAGGACCTATATGGAACCGAAACCACACCCATGCGTGAAGTGACGCCCTGTACACAGTCACCTGAATGACATTTTTTGGAGTTATTTAGGGGTTCCAGGTTTTCTTTGTGGTGCCTGAGGAACAAAACAACTCTCTTCGAGGCGATCTGCATCTCCTGCTCGTCTGGACCTCCAAAAACTGCCATCATCCTAACTTGGGTGTTTGGAATGAGCAAATCCGAGCTTGATTTTCTTATTGGGAACACCCTGAAACGCCTCAGCACCGGTCCCCAAACCACCAATTGGAAGCAAGCCCAAGGTCCTGCACGGTTTGGAGGCCTCTGAAAAAATGTCACATTTTTGGTTGTCGGGGCTGCACATATGGGCTTCAGATCGTGGTATCGGCAGCCAATGCAAAGCCCTTCAAACTCGGGTGGTTGAAGGTCAGAATTCGACAATGGGTGTACATACTTTTCCCAGAGTAGCGGATTTGGCTTTGGCTTTCGCGGAATCCGCATAGCCTTTTCTAGTCCGTTTGTTTTGCATTGCTGGTTCCTGGTATTTTTTTCAAGTGGCTTCCTTTTTTGGTCCTGTTCAGTTGTACTGGAGGCACCGCAAGCAATAGTCAGTTTTCTTCAAGACATACCAGATGTTGGAAAGACATGGCATGCTTCTTGGTTGCAAAAGAAGGCCAGAAGGCCACGTGGGTTGTCCCGTCACGGGGGTGACGGGGGTTCCATCTCTATTTCCTTTTGCACCTTTTGCCTTTTGAAGTTTTGAATGAGTTTCCCTGGGTGATCCTTAATGGCCGCAAAGAGTCACTACTAGTGACTTTGTACTTTTCGTCTCATTTTGCTTACGGGGAAATTCCGGGAGCTTTGTTCAGGCCCTGAACAGGTTCTAACAGGTTCCGATCGCTCAGAGTCAACCGGTACGCGCTTCGAGCCTCGGTTTTGTTCCGGAAGCCGAGAGCCGAGGCTCGGCCCGTGGGGACCGACGGGCCGCCCTGGGCCTCATCAACGCCGAGCTGTGCTCGGTGAAGGAGCTGTGCTCCGATCAATTTCCGTTTTTCCGTTTGGATGTTATTGTTTTCGAGTCCCAGGTTCCTCTCTGAGATTTTCCAAACACAAATCCCCCACTTTGGTTTAGGTGGGTTTTCGAAGAGAAATGGACTCTTTGCAGTTGAGCGGGCTTCTTGTTTTCCCAAGTCAATGGGCATTGAATCCCCGGTTCCTTTGGGATGGCAAAGTGCCGGCTTCCCCCAAAGCACCATGCCCCCTGATTTTCGAAGAGAAAGGCACACACTTCATGGTGGGGCTTCTTTGTTTTCCCAACAATAAGGGAATTGTTCCCCAAACTGCTTCGTTGATACTTTGTTGAGAAGCCTTGCATTTTTTTGGTGAAGAGGATGAACGTTTTGAACCACTCACCAAATGCTGTGGGTCATATAATTCGACCACTCCCTAGCACAGTCCACTTTGTGCCTGGACTCTTTCCAGCAACGCAGGAAGCTGGTGGCAACAGAAGATCGGAGGCGGGATCCGGGGGAAGTGGGTTGCGTTGGGGTTTCACACATTGAAGAAACACCCCCAGCCAAACAATTACCAAGTGCTTCACAAGGTTTCATGCAACCAACATGCACAAATACGCAAACAGCACATGGTGAGTTTATATAGTGAGTTGATACGTGGATTTGTGACAAATATCGGGAACCCCCAAACGGTTGGTTTTTCTTTTGGTTTGCCTTTGATTCCAACCATCGGGGGGATTCTTCGAAAAGGGGCACACCCATGTAAATACAGATCAGCGTGGAGCCCACACAACTATGGGTTTGGAGGAACACCATCTCCTTGGGGGCGTCCTGCTGTTACTTCCAGAAAGTTTGCAAAATAGCACCCTCCTACAATGATGGAAGCTGGGAGGGTTTTGGAAGACGACTTTCCTTTAGCTCCCTGTTCACTTCCATGATTGTTTTGAAAGAGGTTGACACAAACCCCATTTTCCGTCCAAAGGGCCATTTGCCCAAATCTCATTTCAAACAAGTCCATGGCAGTTTGGCGAGTCCCTTCGAGACGGCTCCGGATCCGTTTCGCTCGATGTCAAGGCGGTGCTTCGCCTGGCCTTTGCGGAGGTGGCCAACAGTCGGTGCGGGTCCAAGCGCCGGGAGGAGGCGCTGCAGGCGCGAGGTTCGCTTCGGTTGGGGGGCGGGGCGTTGGGATGCCATGGACAGTCGGAGTCCATTTGGCAGGCTCCAGAAACCCAAGACTCCCCAAAGGTGGTTGCAAAACAAAGTATTCATCAGAAATTGAAGGGGGGAGGGGGCGGCTGGGGGTACGGCAAAGGGCAATGTACCCACCTTTCCAGAACAAGAATTTTGTTTAATTCACCCAGGTTGCCAATTCTTTGGATGGTTCCCGGTGTCAAAGCCCAGAACCGGAACCATGAACCTTGCGCTTCTGAGCCCTGCAGGTTGAAGTAGTCAGGTCAGGAATCACAATGAGTTCTAACAACGAACGAGCTCACCAATGGAGGTCCCTGTTTTGGGAATCCCCATTTCCGCTTGGAAAATTGGTAGAATAATATGTAATTGAAATGGTAAGCACTCAGGAAGTGGGTTGAATTATAACTAATTATAGCAGCTTGTGCTCAAATTTTGTGCTTGCGCAAGCTACTATAAACAGGCGGCGTCAACCACAGGGGATATTGTACATGCCTCCGAGGCACGCCGCACGCCCTCAAAACATAGTTCGTTCAGAATCTGAACATGAGAGGGTCGCTTCCTATTTTTGTTT